GCGGCGCGCCGCACCGAGCTCTCGTACAGCAGAAAGTGCTGGACGAGCGGCTGGTGCAAGTCAAAGGCGTCCGACACGCCACTAAGGCCCTCGTTTGTCGAGTCACGGGCGGAGCCGGCGCCGTCGGCCTCCTCGCTCCCGCCGCCCGCCGCCCTGTCCGAGACCGCCTCGCCCGCGTTCTCCGCCGTCGAGGCGAGCCTGGCCGGGCTGCCGCCGTCGCGCGCCTTGCCGCGCCGCCCGCGCACCCGCTTTGTCGGCGAGGCCTGCGGTGACTGCGTCGGAGACGGCGAGCCCGAGCGCGCACCCAGGCCTGGGTCCGACGGACTCCGCGGGAGCCTGCCTCGCACGCCGTCGCCGTCGGCGGAGGGCGTCGCGATGCCGGGGTACTTCCGGAGGAGGCTGCGCTGGTGCTTGGAGCTCATCGGGCTCGGCAGGTCCGAGTCGGACAGGGCGAGGCACTCGGCCAGCGCCTCCTCTAGACTGACGCCGTCGTCCGATGGCGGGGGGCCGGCCTCGGCCGCGCCGGGCCCGGCAAAGCTTCCTGCAGCGGCCGCGGCGCTCATCATTGAACTTTTTTTTCCGGGCCCTGACAGGGATCCGGCCAACGGAGGTGAGCGAGAGGTCTGAGTTCAGACGTGAAGAATACAGCGATCTACCAGGACCTGATCCTAGGCGGAATGTAGACCTCCCAGACTTGGGGTACATAGCGGTGGCAGATCGTAATTGGCCGGGTGGGGAGGACGGGAAGTGTATCGGGAGGGAATGGGGTTGGGACATTGAGAGAGGGCCCACTTTAGCTACGACCTCCACAGAGCAGATGGAGGAGTCGCCACGACATTACGCGGATACCTTCCTTCGATCGATAGCGAGACCCACAGTGAAGGGGAAGAGGAGCTGGGAGTTGGCGAGAAGGGATCGATGAGTATTACCCCCTCCCCGGACCCGCCGCAGCCACCCCCGCCGCCGCAAGCGAGCCCAAACCCGACCTTCACTCTCCCAGCCTGCGCGAGGAGGGAGGAGCAGGATCCTAGCTGTAGATGGAGAGAGCACAATACCCGAGGGAGAGATTGAAAGAGGGGTGAGGTCGATGAGTATCACCCCCTCCTCGAACCCACCGATGCCTCCACCCCCGACGCCCTCGGACGCATTCGTGACTCTCCCAGTGTCGCGAGGAGAGACGGGGCCCAGCCTGACTGTGGACAATGGAAGCTCGACACCTGAACTAGTGCACCCGCTCGCCCCTGTCCTTACTCGCCCTACCTAGTCCTCAAGGCACGCCTGCTCGCTCGACGCCAGGAGAACCTAGGGGTGGGGAGCAGTCGAGGGAAGGGGCGGAGAGCGCATGAAGTAGGAGGCGCAAAGAAGAGTGGAGATGGTGGTGGTGGGGAAGGAGGAGGGGGAGGGAGAAAGCTGAGGGAGGGTGTAGAGGATGTAGAGTGTAGAGCGCTGTAGAGCTGTAGAGATGTAGAGCGCTGGAGAGCGCTGTAGAGCGCTGTAGAGCTGTAGAGCTCTACATCCGCCGCGGGACGAAGCGCCTCCGTTGTAGAGCGATGTAGAGGCGCTCTACAACGTGAAATCTACAACAAACTCTACATCATAAGCGGCGAACGAGGCACGGTCGCTCTCCGACATGAGGCGCGTTGCACTTGCCAGTGCTGCCCTGGCCTTCTGTCTGCCCGCCCAATGGGTGGCAGGTGCCTCTGCTGCTATGGCATGCCTCACGGCTGCGACTGGCCGGCGCCTCGACGCGTCAGCTCGGCTCGGCGTAGTGATAGTGGCCAGCGCAACTTGCCTGGACTCAACGCTCAGCCAGGAGCTCCCGCACGCGCTGGCGCGAGGCATGGCGCATGCAACGCTCAACAATGCTCTCCTCGCCTCGCGCAAATGCGGCCGTCCTCGCAGCCGACAGTCCACCGCCTGCTAAAGAAGCACAGCGACGAATGCGGCACCGGCGACACATGGCAGGCTGGTCATGACGCAGTTATAGGGTGTTGTGTGCCGTCGGAGTGACTCTCTGTGTGTCAGGGATAGTCAGGGCTGTCCATCAAGATTCTTTTCCGATAGTTCTTTTTCTTGCCTGTGTCTGTGCCAGTGCGCGCCAGTCCCGTGCCCAGTGTCGTGCGAGGGAGTTTCGTTTTAACTTCTTTTTCTTAGCGGGCCTGTGTTCGTGCCAGTGCGCGCCAGTCCCGTGCCCAGTGTTGTGCGAGGGAGTTTTGTTGTAAGATTCTTAGCGGGAAGCTGTGTTGATATTCCGAGACACTTCCCATCCTGTCACGCTGCTGCCTCGCGCCCTACCGCAGATGCCTGCTCCCTCGTCGAGACACCTCGCGCTGCTTCTCGCTGTGCTCCTGGCCAGCCTCTCGCCCGCCGCCGCGCTGTCTGTGGCGCCGGTTCCGATCGCGGGCTGGCAGCGGGCCCTGGCTGGAGCAGCGGCCTACTGCTCGGCGACACTCATCTCCTCTCCCGTCGATGTGGTCAAGACGCGGCTGCAGGTAACTCGTGCTCGCATCCCGCTGCCTAGCTGCTCGCCTCGGCCTTCGCACAACCTCGCCCACGCCGCTCTCTGTCAGGCTGGGAGCCACGGCCCCGCAGGCCGCGGCCCAGGAGCGAGCGCGCTGCGAGTCACGATGCACCTGCTGCGGACGGAGAGCCTGCTCGTCTTCTACGCCGGCATCGGGCCCGCGCTCCTCATGGCGCCGGCCGCCATGGTGACGCATATCTCGCCACAGCCGCCATTGCCACTGCCAGAGCCCTGCCACCGGCACGCACCGCCACACGGCCCGGCCACACCGCCGCCTCCGCCGCCTCCCCACGCCTCAGGTGCAGTACGCGCTGATGGACCCTCTGCGGGAGATCATGCCTGTCGGTCTGGCGGCCCTCATCGCGGGAGCGGAGTAGTAGTGGGATCGGAAGAGAGGAGTCGGGCGCAAAAGCAGGTGGCTGGTTTGGAGGGTGAAGCGGCACCGAGCCGCGCCGCGCTGCGCCGCGTCGCAGGCGCGCTCGACATCACCATCAAGTGCCCCTTCGACAGGTGAGACAGACGCCCCGAGGATCGGCGAGGGCGAAGCTTTCTCAGCGCGTCCGCGACACGCCCCTGTGCGCCCTCGCGTAGGCTCAAGACTCAGATGCAGGCGCCAGGCGGCGGTGGGGAGACAAGCGTGACGACGCAAGCCTTGCGCGCGCCCGCTGCGACACCGTTTCGGGGCTCTCCGCGACCCCTCTCGGAGCCTTCGCGGATAGGCACTTTGCGCGCGTCTACCGCGCGCGTGGAGTCGCCGGCCTCTACACAGGCGCTTCGGCCGATATACGCAACGTACACGGACGACTGACAGAGGCGAGGGCGGCGTCTCTTCACAGCGTGTGCGGTCGTGAACAGGCTTTGCCGCGACGCTGGTCCGCGACCTGCCCTACCTGGTGATCAAGTGGCAGGCGCCCTTCACCCGCGGGCCCCTCACTGGGCCTTGTGCACCTTGAGTGGGTGGTGGGGCTCAAGTGGCAGGCGCCCTTCACCCGCGGGCCCCTCACTGGGCCTTGTGCACCTTGAGTGGGTGGTGGGGCTCACGGCCGGGCGGGGTGCACAAGGCACCTTGAGTGAAGGGCTCACGGCCGGGCGGGGCGAGGCCGAACGCACTGCTGCCCAACACAAGCGTGTGACGGCTACGTTCCACTTGGAAGGTCTACACGACGATGCAGCTCGTGCTCGGGCAGACGCACTCTGCGAACTTGCTCAGCGGCGCCGTCGCGGGCGCCGTGGCGGCGACGCTCGTCACGCCGGCAGACGTAATCAAGACGAGACTGCAGGTCCTGCACCGCAGCACACTGTCTCACATGCACAAACGACGGCATCGCAGCTTGGCCCGACGTGTCGTCTCCGCCGTTCGTAGGTGACGGGGGCAAAGGTGCCGCTCGTCGCGGTGATGAGGCGCCCAGACCTCCGAAATGCCAGCGGCGGCTGGTGAGCGGAGGACACGTCCACGACATGTCCATGGCTCGCGCCCCACTAGGCAGCTCCTCGACGAGGGGGGTGTCCCCGCGCTCTTCCGAGGCGCCTGTGCTTGTGCGATGCCGCCGCAACTGAGAGTAGGCCAGCTCCTCACCGCCCGTGCTCCTGTAAACAGGCCTTGGCCCGCGCTTGGCGCGTATCCCCGTGTACACGGCCGTCACGCTCGCAACCTTCGACCTCGTCAAGGGCCTCTTCGTGCTCAGCAACGAGGCGGCGGTGGGCGTGGGCTCCGGGTGACACGGGAGAGGCGAGGCACGCTCAACGGCCTGTTGCGAGAGGGGCGTTGCGCGATCATGGAACGCCTACCTCCACTCCACTGAGACCTGAGAGGTCAGAAAACGTCACACCCTCTCTCTCTTGACTCTTCTGCGTAAAAGTGGCTTCTCTATTGTCTGCTGGCACGCGGAGGTGTTTGTTCCTAGTTCTTCTCGTGTGCACATGGCTAGTGCCATTTCACTGTGGCACAAAAGTCAAAACCTTGATTTGATCGGGGACCTGCCCTGCATCGGCGTACGGCGACATGAAGATCTTTGCCGGTGTGCCGTCGGACCCCTCGGGGGTGGGGCGCATGGTCGTCGCTTGCGGCAACACGCTGCCACGCGCCCGCGAGACGGTTTTGGGCGTGGAGGGCGGGGACAGGGGCGGGAGGGTGGGGAGGTGGGACCCGCGGACGGGGTCGGGACGGTCGAGGCCGTCAAGGGCCAGTACACGGACGCAGAGGGGAAGTGCCGTGTGGAGGCGCTGCTCTTCGAGGAGTTCGGCGCAATGAGCGCGGGGGCGGAGGAGCTGCTGAGGCGGGTGGCTGAGGTGGCGGGCCGGAAGCTCACATGGTGGCAGTACGACCAGACGTCGTGGTCGGCGCGCGAATGGATGCCGTTTGCGCTGCAGCGACTGCCGGTGCAGCTCTGGGTGGCGCTCGCGGACGAGGCACAGCGCGCCATTGGTGCGGCGTCACGCGGCCGCGAGGGACTCGGTGCCTTCCAGAGGCAGCTGCGACCCCGCCGAGTAGACGGCTGCACACAGCAGGTGGCGCGGTGTGTTACCGTCCACTCGGCGGGGTCGCAGCTGCCTCTGCGCGTACTGGGGATGTAAGGTAAGGTAAGGTAAGGTAAACTTCTCCACACACACGAGGTGGTGGGGCAAGGGGGGGCAACCCTCGCGTCTCCACGTCTGACGACAGGAGCCCCACGGCATTCAAAGTGCAAGGCCCAGTGCGCGTGGGTGAGCGGTGTGTGTGTGTGTGTGTGTGTGTGTGTGTGTGTGTGTGTGTGTGTGTGTGTGTGTGTGTGTGTGTGTGTGTGTGTGTGTGTGTGTGTGTGTGTGTGTGTGTGTGTGTGTGTGTGTGTGTGTGTGTGTGTGTGTCTCACGTCACTGCATCCTCCGCCGGTTCCTCCCGTCGCCTCTTCTTTGTTCGAATGTTTTTCAATCCATCCTTCACGAAGCCCTCCCATGTAGCTAGCGTTCTTGGCGAATGTCTCGAAATGGCCAGCAGGCGCTGTCTGCTCGCGGTCTGTGCGGGCCGCTCGTCCTCCTCGCCCTTCTTTCGTCCTCCCGTCCCTCCCCTCCACCATGGCCTTCTCGGCACTTCTTTCTCCATCCGCCTCGCCCTGCCTTTTCGCATCGTGCCGTTCGCCCTCCATTCGGTGACCTCCATGGCTGTCCGCCCCTTTTTGGGTGGCGCTCTCGATACGGTTGCGTCAACCTCGACGTCGCTGTCGCCCTCCCTGTCCCCGCCGGCGTCCGTGCCTCGGTTCGCGTCATCGGTAGCGTCTCCGTTGTTCCCTCGTGCCCCGCCGTCGCCCTCTCTGCTCGGGCCGTTAGCGATTTCGCTCCTCCTGCGTGTCGCCCCTCCGTCCCCTCCCCTTTCTTCGTCGTCATCGTCGCTGTCGCGAAAGCCCTCCGGTCCCTCGATTCCCTCGCCTATCCCCTCCGCTGCGTCGTCCCAGTTTATATCCTCATCCTCTGCGCACGTCGCGTTGGCTTCCTCTCTCCCCCTTTCCTCCCTGCCCCTCTCGCTGTCTGGTGTTAATGGACCCCCTTCCTCTCCCTCGCCACCGTCACCGTCTCCATCCCCGTCGCTACCGCCCTCCATGCCCGCCGCCCTTTGTTTCACACTCGTCTCTGCCATGTCCGCCGTCGCCGCCGTCCTGTCTGCTGCGCTCTGTGCTCCGTGGTACAGTCGCTTATTGTTGCTCAGGATTAGCTCACGCACCAGGACAGCCTCCTGCTCGTTATTTTGGCTTGCCGATATGCATCCAAAGTTCCACGCTAGCTCCTCCTTCGTCACGTCTATCTTTTTGCAGTATCTCGCGAATGCCGTCCGCGCTTGCTGGGGTGTTATTGCGTTCGGATCCGCCCTGGTCCCCGCCCTGTATCCCATCTCCTTGCGGTGGCTCCTGTATGAGTCCCCATATGACCATGTGATTTCTTGGCCTTCCTTGACTCCCCTCTCTGCAAACAGGACCATCACCTGCGCAGCTGCCTTGCCTAATTGTATCTCCTCGTAGCGTACGAAGTGCGTCGCCCTCGTGCCTTGCTTCGGCTCGTTCGATGCTGCTGGCCAGTCGAAATTACACCGCGCCGCGACGCTGTCAAAGTCGTCCCTGTCCGTTTTGTCGCGCCCTTCCATTTAATTAGGTACTCCCACCGTTCGGTCGCGTCCTCCCCCGTCTCCCCCGTTCGTCGTGCCCCGTCGATTCGTTCGTACGTCCATTTGTCTTCGCCCTTTACTTGTCCATTTCGGACTCCCCTCTGTTCTGTCGACGCTTCCGCCGCAATTCGGATGGCTATTCTCTGATCACTTCTGTTCCATTCTAGCCCTGCCTCGTCCCATCGCTCGTGCCTCCCCGCAAACCATTGTGCGGTCGTCGCCTCTGGCTGTCCGTTTAACTCGCCTAGTAGCTGTTCGTAGTCCTCTTTATCTGTCTTGCCCCGCAACTCATGGACCCTCGATGCCTCAGTCCACGTCATCCATCCGTCGCCCTTCTCGTTTGTCACGTCGCTCCACCATACCAATCCGACCTCCGCGAGCCTCTTCTTGTATGTGCACCGTCGGGCGCCTCGCCTCCACATGGTCATGCTGTCTTCCCATAGTCGTGGGCCCCGCACTGTTTCCTGTTGGCCAGTCATCTCCCACAGGTCATCATCGAGGCCGTCTTTCATCTGCATCGACGTCCTCATGCCTCGTAGTCCTGCCCGATTCCGCTGTAGGTAGTATGCCTCCATCAGGTTTCCTTCATTTAGTTGCTCGTCGGGTATGAATGTCGTGTCCCATTCGAGTGGGTGTTTGCCGCGGCACCCCAGTCTCCATGCCGTCCTCGCCAGCGCATATCTCGCGACCATCCCCGCGGGTCGTCCCTCTGGTGCCGAGAGCATGTTGTCGATCGTGCTCATCCAGCTCGCCGTGGCTACCTGATACGTGTGCATGCTCCCTTCACCACCATCTTCCTCCGCCGCGTATAGGTGTGCCTTCGGGTATGCTGTTCCTGCTCCCTGTCGCTCTATCGCGTCTCGCCTCGCAACTTCGATGGCGTCGCAGTCCTCCATCGTCATGACGGTCCCTCTTGCAGCCGCTCCGACCACCCCTTCCATCGCGGCGTTCATCGCTCGTTGCATCTCGTCCGCATTTAATTGCGTGAGCGCGCCCACCATTTTCATTAGCCGCGTCGCTTCCCTTCTCGTTTTTTGTCTCGCCGGTTCCATCCCCTTCTGCCACTGGGCGGTTATCGGGGTGCCCAGGTATTTGTAGATCTCGACCGCCGCCGCTTCCACCGCCGTTTGTCTCGCCGTCTGTACGTCGTCTTCTCCCTTGCTCGTCTGTCCTCTCGCTGTCGAAGTCGCCCTCTTGATGCTGCGTGGTGCCCGTATCTGTGGAATTTCCGTCCCGTCGAGGAGTCGCATTGGCGCGCCTTCTATGTTTCGTGCGATCCCATTCTCGTATCGTACTGCCATGTACGCTGTCTTTCT